GTCCAGAAGAACCGATCCCTCCTGCGACCGCGCGACAAGATCCAGCCCTACCCCAAAGACTGGGAACACGCCAAACACCGCCCAAGACAGCCAGATGCCGAGATCCTCGAACACGAAGCAAAGCGCGACATCGAAGTCAAGGTCCTTGAGCTGCGCGACAAGCTTGAAGACGAAGGCGTCGACGAAGACGAGATTGACGACCAGTGCGAAGGCCTACGCCGCAAACTCGATCGGGAACGAAAAGACGGCAAAGATCTCGGTCCTAATGCGAAGCGCCTCAAGTCGCACCAAGTCCACGACCTTGCCAAAGCAAAGGCAGAAGAGAGCGAGAGGTTGCGCAAAGCCCTGGGCATCAGCGCAGACTATGAGGAAGGAAGTCACTGGAGGAAGCAAGAGGAGAGAATGCGCGACAGTCTAGCCAAGAGGGAGGCCGAAGACGAAGAAAGGACTGCCAGAGCGAAAGAAGCCAGGCGGCATAGGGAGGACGACTCGGATTGAGCTTCTGCGAGTCTGCTATTTGGCGTTATGATCCTTTCCGATACCCATAGCCACTGTGCACCACCCTGAAGGCATGGCATTACTGCCTGGAGACTAGCATCCCAAAATCGGTCTCTGACATCTCTACGACATACCTCTAGTACCAAAGATAGCGACTGTCGATTACTGGTGCGGAAGCTGGAGGCACAGACAGGTCAGCTTCGTCTTCCAGCTTACAGTCTAAGAAGCAGACTGACTTCAACAGATGAGATCTAAACGAGCACCCAGTGTACCCTTGTCTACTGGCTTTTGGTTCTAATGCAGGAACCCTTTACACCATGTCAATTGACTTGACTTGACTGCTTCCGTGACGTCTCACCTCCACTGATGCGCACCTAGGATAACGCGCCGCTCACAAGCGACAATAGTTTGCATGCGCGGGATACCTATCTCCACTCCGGCGTATCTTTCGGTGCTGAATAGACCTGTCAAGAGAACGGAGGCGTACCGCACATTGCGCAAGGTGCTTTGCTAGGGCTTCATCTTCACCACACCTCGTTCGCCTTATCACAAGTAACGATACCACATCTAATACACGCATTGTGACAGCCACTACAGCTGAACGATGAACCTTGTCTGTCTGCAACGCACTGTTCGGGTTGGCATTTCTTATCGGCCTAGGTGCTTACCCCAGGCGGTCCAGCTGTCGGCCCACGTGGGTCACCTGAATGGCCAGCTTTTGACGGGCGCGCCAAGTCCTCACAACGACTGGGGTCATGCCCGTGCAACTTGGCTCGCAAACGCTCCACGCCGTCTTTTCCATTAACACGAACGACAGGGCTCTTGCAATGCCTCCTCGTCACCGATGCGGGCGTCATTTTCTATGAACACCCACGGGACGCCGTAGCGTACCGCATGCGATAGCCCACTCACCCAATTGGTCCATTCCTCAACACCAGCGTTCCGGTATCGTGGACGTATAAACCAGGTCTCTCCGCATTTGCGGGCTAGCTGTCTCTTCCCGTAGCAACACCACCGCACGTTACGTGCCCCGACTGTCACCATGGTCCGGCCTATCGCTGTCATGCGGGAGACATGGAACACCTACACTCCTGTCGAACGACGGAACATCGCCATCTACATCGCCGGCATCATGATGTACAAGTTCGGCCTCGAGGCATTCAACGGATCTGTCATTGCGCTTGCGACTAATCGATACGATGAACTCGAGAAGAAAACGCACATCTCCATTACTTTTCAACGCGTCGGCGTCTTGACGGGGTTGAATCAAGCCTTTCAGTGTGTTGGATCTATACTGATCGCGCCACTCATCAAAAGATATCCGACCAAGAACGTTCTGGCATGTGCAGTGCTTATATTCGCCTTCATGAGCAGCGTCTTGCTCATCTTAGACGCTGCAACGGGCGGCAAGTTCGCACCGCGCGGATGGGCAAAGGATGACTTCAGCTACTACGGTGACTATGATACCGACGCCATGATACCCATCTGTAAGTTCATAGCCCCAGTCTACCAAACGGTTCGATATCTCGGTCACCTTTGCTCTCATGCCTGCTGCCGCTAGAGCTGTCGCTGGCGGGTGCTGTAAGGAGTAGCAGGTACTTGTTCTCATCTGATTCCATGTTGCTGACGAACGCTAGATTGCGTCTGTGGTATAGTCTACGGCATGGTCGAATTAATCCGGCGAGTCATTCCGCGCGACTTGGTTGGCGGCAACATCCAAAAGCTTCGACGTATGGACTCTCTGGTCCATATCTTCTACGAGATCAGCGGCACTGCTGGTGCCTTTTGCACAGCACTTGCGCTCATTCCCCGGTTCGGCAACAACTTCAGCTTCATCATCACGCCCATATTCTTCGCCGCCGCATCCATACTATGGTACTTCATTGAGGAAGCCAGTATACCGAAGGAAGGCAGATCTCTGATCTTGGAGAGTCAGCCAACCTATGTCAAGGCCGTGATAGGCGGATTCTACCTCTTCTTCGAGTCCGTTGGAACCGGTGCTAAGATCATCTTCAAGCACCGCAAGTTTATCTGGCTGTTACCCGGATATGCTGTCGCGCTTTATGCGCACCGATACCTCGAGAACGCAATCGCTCCTGCCGTAGCACGCCGCTATTTCGGAAACTCGGCATGGTCACAGATCATAGTGGGAGGCTCGAACTTCGGCGAACTGCTAGGAGCGCTGTTTGTATTCATGTTCACGAACTTGGTGCACACTCCGATACCATGGCTTCGGCTAGACGCCCTGGCTCTCCTGATAGTCTGGTATCTACCTTTCTGGAACCCACCCAAGAACGACGTGGCTCAAGCTTGGATCGTGGGAGCGACGTTCCTCCCCATCAGTTTCGGGTGGGCTGCCGGCGACGTATCGCTCGCCGCATACATTCAGGCATCACTAGCGCGCATCGAGTCGAAGACTCAGAACGTATCTGCACTCGGTGCCGTCATGGCGTTCCTCTACAGCACATACATCGTCACGTACGCGATCGCATCCGTTTCCCTCGGGACCTACATCGACCGCGTTTCCGATCGCCACAACGAACAGATACACGGGGCTGTGTTGAACGTGGCTGCTGTACAGTTCACCATCATCAGTGTGCTGGTCTTGACGAGCACTTTTGTACCGAAAGGCGCCTTTGCACTAAATCCCAAGATGCTCAGTGAGGAGGACTTGGATACCGATTTGGAGGACGAGGATCTGGAGTATGTACCCGGAGTTCAGGTCAAAGGCAAGCGAAGCTACGAAAGCCACGAGATGACCAGTAGAACGAACAGCTTGGATTAGCGACACGTGAGAATGATTTGGATGAGGCTTATAACGAATATAACTTTCCCATCTTAATGCGACAGGAAATTGCTCCTCTGGCCACGTATCACAATGCGAAAGAAACAACATGTGCATGCAGGCACCTTGATGTCCAGCCAAATAGCATTAGCAGACTAGGCGGAGTATCTTGTCTAAACCGCTAGATGGATGATACTTTGAGCACGACCTCGATCATCATGATTTGACCACCATGTCGTGGGCCGGCAGAAGCCGCGACAACACTTTCCATAGTGATCTCCAGCACGTGTGTTCTTGTGCAGCGCTCATTGATCCCCACGACTACATGTAAGCTATCGGCTGTTTCATCGACGACTCCGAATATAGAAGGTGACCTCCGCGACGTTCCGTCTCGGTAGACTGGAGTAGCTTCCGTAGCGGAGGCTCGACCCTGCGCACGGAGGGAATGTCACTTGATTGCAGCGCTGAGCAGTAAGAGTGGCAACTAAGCACTCGGCGTCCTGGGTTCGAGACAAGGGGCGCTTTAGCATGCGTCGACGCGCCAAGCCCATGTGCTCACGGGGCGAGGTTTGGTTGGCTCAGCCACGCCTTCACGCACCTCCAAGTCAGCAGCAACACCACGTCTTTGGGTTGCGCCAAGCAAAAGCTTCGCTCACAATCAGTCGCGCTGCGGACGCCATTTGCTTTTAACGGCCCAGTGCAAGCATGCGCGGAATTCCTTCCAGATCGCGCGTCTACTACGCCTTGTTGCGACCGCTGCTCTCGACCCATGGATGAGGCCGACTTCGACGGCTCACGCATAACACCTGTACCCGCCTGCTACGCGGCTGTACGTGCGCAATCCAGCTGAACAAGCTCAAGATCCCCAGAGCCTTGGACCCGTCGCTTTCGTGCTTTCGCTCTGGTCTTTGTTGGCGCCTTGTTTCGATACCCCGTCATTGTTGTTGTTGCCTCTTGTGGGTGGTAGCCCAGTCTGACATCCAACCCGCATTAGGCACGCCTCTGCCATCTGGTACACTGTTGCTACGACTACCGCTTGTCGGAGACTTCTACAAAATCACATCCACCGCAAAGCGTCTGGTATTGCGGCTCGATGAATCATGCAGCCATATCCACAGCCGAGTGGACCGCCCGGTAACGACAGAAATGAAGGCGGACATCGGGGTCCGCTGAGTAGAACATGGCCACAGTTGTTCAAAAAGAGAAGGAGATATAGTCCGGTTAGGGAGAGCGCCCAACAGCAACAAGAACAGCAACAACACGTACAGCAGATGCAGCACGTGCAAATGCAACCAGCACCGCAAACACAGCCACAGCAACAACCGGTGCAATTACCGATACATCCCATCCGCCCATTGAAATCGCCATCAGTAACAACGCAATCTGTCACATCACCCACAGTATCTTCGATAAGATCTCCGTCAATAGCAGCAGACACCGCGAGCACAATATCATCAATATCCCATGCATCATCCGCAACACCGAAGAAAGTCGCCATCGCAAGAAGAAGCAGTAATATAGTACCTGCGGACAGCAATGGTATGCCTCTCTCTTCGTCATCAAGTCTCGTGACGTCAATCTCACCCAAACAACACAAACGCAAAACCTAGTATACAACTAACTCCTCCCAGGCGCCGGTGGCGTAACAACCCCCCAAGCCGACCTCCTAGCTTCCAAATCAAACTACGAACTAATCTCATCTGGCCAACACCTAGAAATGGGCCTCCACTTCAGCACCGCCATGGCCACCGGCGTAATGATGAAGCGCGCCACACACCGCGCAGCCGAACAAGCCCGGCGTGATCGCATGAAAACCGCCATGGTAGATCTAGCTGAATTTCTACTCGACGGCGAAGTTACTTTTGGTAGTGGGACCACATGTTTTGTTGTTATGAGAGGGAAAGATGGCGAGGATGGGAGCGAGAAGGTGACGGATGGTGCCGATGACGATGTGAGGAATGGGAAGGGGTCCATGCCAGGAGAGAAGAAGACGGTTAATAAAGCGCGGTTGATTGAGATGGCGTTGGAGAAGATGAAAGCGCAGGAAAAGGAGATTGAGCTGCTGCGCAAGGAGATTGAGGGGTTGAGGGCGGGTGGAGATAGTATGGATGTGTCGTAGAGCCCACGCCTGCATACAATGCCTCGTGTGATTCATTGGAGGGAAGGGGAGAAGGAGGGCTGGGTTGGAGCATCTTTTCTTTTGTAACCTGAGATATCCATCATGCATGGCGTTTGACCATCTATCTTTTTCGGCATACAGTTCTACCGCATGTAACTTCCTTAGCATAGGCACTAGAAACGCAATACAGCATATACCGACGAGTTACTTACTCGACGACGTTGTGCACCGGACCCATCGTGGCGTTCGAACCAAGTGGGGTTTCTACACGGGAACCATGGCCGTTAGCTCTGAGCTTCAAACAAGTTCGATCTGCCTAGTCTCTGCGGAGTGTAGACTATGGAAAGCGAGCATCACGTTGTCAGCTCAATAGAAGTGCAAGTAGCTGTGAGGAGTAGTAATGGCATCATTGGTTCATGTCTACGTATAATTATCTACGCGAGCAGTGTGAAGAGCAGATACGTCTTCTTCGCATAATCCGCCGCATTCTTCCTCAGCCTGTTGATAGCAGCCTCGTCTAAGTCCACCAGGTCGGTTTTCTGTACCAGCGCTGTGAGTTTGGCATCGTCTGCACCTGTGTCACCAACGAAGCGTTGGATGTAGAGAAGATCGAAAAGCAGTTGTTTGACTCTCTGTTCTCTTGCTTCGCTGTGGTTTGGTGATGGTTCTGTGACGTCTGCCTTCTCGCCATCGTCCGTGGCTGTGGGGTCTGCGCCTTCATTTTCTTCTTGGTCTTCGTCTTTCTTCTCGACAGAAGGGCTTTGCTCTTTCGTAGACGCGCTGTTGGCGTCGAGATGCTCCTGAACCGCTTTGACTACTTCGTCGGCGACGCTACTTTTCAGAACCTCGACGCTGCCGGGCGCCCATACATCACTACCCAGCGCGCTCATATCTTTGTTTAGGCCCCGCAGGAATCTGAAAGCGCTGGATGACGGCTGGCTCGGTAGTGGTGGGTGTCCTTCCCACAGGATATGGCTATTCGTCTTCACTTTAAGCGAACCTTGAAGCGATGTCTTGTATGCTTCTACGCTTGGTTTCGTGACGCATAAAGCGAGTGTGGTATGCAAAGGTTGAAGAATCTCTACCGTAAAGGGTGACGCAAGAGGTGTGGCTTTATCTTGGAGGCGTAACCGCGGTATCCGATCGCCGATTTCCCTGACTACGCGCAGCATGAAAGTGGCCTTTTGTGTTGACTGCTCACCATCAGACTTCTTCACAATAGTATGGAAGCTCCGGCTTAGGTTTTGCATGGCGTCGCTCAAGGCTTCCTGGGTAGCTTCCTCGAGCAGTTTTGGATCGTCATCGCTGAGGAGCGCTTGCTTTGAGTCGCCAAGCTCATCGTCGGATTCCTCGTCTACGTCGTCTGCGAAGGTGTCGTCCCATCGTGCTTCCTTCATGCTCTTGACGATACCCTTGACTTCCAGGATAGACTCCATCCACTTGTCAAAGGCAGAAGTTACACTTATGACAGACTCATCGCGCCCTTGGTAGGTGTTGAGTATAGCGGATTTGAAGTTTTGTGCCCCGTTGCTCAGATCAGAGGCCTTGGTAGTGGTATCCCATAGCGAAGGTGCCACAGCCTTGTCTGTTGAAGCCACAGTGTCCAGTCGAGTCGTCAGCTCGGTAACGACAGTTTGTAGCCCTTGCGTGCGCGATCGCACTATGCCCTCAAGCTTATCGTTCATTGTGTCTCGTAGGTCGTCTAAAACGTTAGCAGACTTGACACCCGCCATTCGCGAGCCAGACAATATCCAGGTCTCGATCAGCTCTTGCCTCAAGTCTGCGACCTCTTTGAGTCGTTCTTCGCCCTCTAGTGCTTTTTGCACACCCTTGAGGAAAGCGGCAATAGCGTCCTTTGACCATCGGTGCATTATCCGCTCTGCTTCCGGCCGCTGCAATTCGTCGTGTCTCGGCCATGGCGTGTAGTTTCGTGCCTCATCGCCTAACCACCGATCATGTACATCGAGGTTCAGCTCGTAGAGACCGCGGACGTCAGGGTCCTGGATCAACGGCTGCGCCTTTAGCTTTGCTAGAGCCTCTGCCAAGCGCCGTGGAAAGATGGTTTGTGTATCGAGACATGTCTGGATGCACAGCTTGAGCGCACTGATGCCATGCTTCGCAAGCTCATCACCCCCTGCCTTCAGCTCGCTGTTCATCTTGTCCAATCGCATCTTATGGAAATGGTGTAGGACATCGGTCGGGGTGGAGCTCGTCGCGAGCGCGTAGGCACACATGCTTTCGAGCAGGCTGGCTGTTTCGCCGTTCGTGTTCGAGAGGCGCTTGTCAATCCTCCTGAGAAGCTTCCGCCGTACCGACAGCAGTCTCTCCCACAGCTGATTGACAATGGGCGCCTTGTTGTCGGATTGACTGAGCGACTTGTGGAGTAGTCTTGAGATGACCAGGACTTTCGCAATGAGCAGATATGATCCTTCTCTTTTCATGAGGCGCGTCATGATCACAGGCGCGATGCGCATGACTGCGAGCTGGGCCGCGAATGTATAGCGCTCCGCATCTGTTGCCCGTCAACCCACTGTCCCTTGCCAATGCATTGTTGTAGACTGACCGCGACTTCTTGTATGCATGTCCATCTTGCCCGCGTTGTTTGTGATCTTTTCCAGGCCCCGCGCATTGCAGCTCTGCCCTACTCTTGAGAGTCTACTTTCCACCTGCCCCATACGCACTTCCATGTCGATGATCGTACCGGCCGTGTCGAGGAGGTTGCGATAGCTTGCCCTGTAGTTCCGTCAGCCTCTCCGATCTCTATCCCCTTGTTGGCCTGGCATTCTGTACCCGACAAGCGACCGTAGCTTCTCTCGATTGTCGTCGGCATTATTGCGGAGCTGCTGTTCAAGCTTGCGGACGATGGGAATGGGGTATTGGAACGCGTCCTCCCACGTCTCAAAGGTTCGTGGATCTGGCGTTTCGGTCGCCATTGGCGTCGGGTACTGGAAGGCGCGTGTTGGCGTCGCAATGCTACACGTAGAGGTACGCGGCGATGCTACATCTCCCCACCAATCGCGTGCTTAGTCATCGCGCTTACCCATCACTCAATTGCCAACTGGAACAGTTGACTTATTTGCGAAGGTAGTACATGATCAAAGAAGGGGCTTTGAACATAATCGTTGTGTAAAACACAGGATGGCATTGGTGTTGAAACCAAGAAACTCTATCTCTATACTATCTCAAAACATGGTATCACAGGTTAAGCTCAAATGACTCCGCCCATCCCAACTCCTACCAAACGAATCATTCTCCATCTGGAATAAAGCCTGCCGTATCACCTGCAGCATTCCGTCTTCTGAGCTCGCGTTCCACAGCCCTCAACATAAGCTGCGCATCGTCGAGCGTCAATTCCTCTCCACCCCTCATGCTCGCCAACAGCTCCGCAAATTCAGGGTCATCAGGCTCGATGATCTCAACCCTTCTGCCCTTTGTCTTTGGCTTTGGTGGTGGCAATGGCATGAAAGCTCTGTTCGTGCTGCCGAACTTGGCGATCATCTCCTCAAATTCGCCTTGTGGAGTGCTCTGACTTGTGACTGCCCCGCCAGCACCGATGCGCCAGACGTCTTCCTTGTCCTCATCCTGATCGTCGTCGATCTTGATAGCGGTACGAATGACAACGTTGAAGTCGCCGCCTCCTCCGACGTCAAGGTATCCGAGAACACCTGAGTATATGCCTCGTCTCACGCCGCTCTCCACATTTTGAAGGATTTCGCATGAGCGTTTCTTGGGCGCCCCAGTCATACTTCCTGGTGGTAGACTCTCAACGAATGCGTCGAACCCTAGGTATGGAACAGAATGTTTCGTTGGCTTTTTGGAAGCGTACTCCACAGGGTCTTCCCAATCTTCCGGGGTGGTAGGCTTGTAGATTCCGCTGGGTACTGCATCGACGACTGATACTAGTTGCCACAGTGTTTCGTATTCTTCCACTTCCATGAGCTGGCTCACTCGGACATTTTCGGAGCCGTAGACACCGTGAAGTTGATGGCGGGTAAGATCGACAATCATGAGATTTTCTGCGCGTTCCTTAGACGATGAGAGGATGTCATGGGCCATCTCGGCAGTTACACCAGGTTTCTTCTGCACTGTTCCTTTGATCGGCCGGCATTGCGCAGTTTGCGATCGGTCCCAGCTTATGTACCGCTCTGGCGAGGAGCACAGTAAATGTACATTGTGCATCCTCATGTAGGCGCTGAATGGCGCGGGATTTTGACCAGTTAGGCGTTTGTAGAGGTTCCAGGAGTGTTCATTATCCTCGGAGTGGGATATTCTGCACGCTGTAGGCTTGCGAGCGCGAACCTCGTTGCGAGTCGTCAGACACAGCTCGTAGCTCTGGCCGTCTGCTATCGAGTCTTTGCAGGCTCTGACTTTATCGCAGTAGTCGTCTTCGCCAGCGGTGAGCTGATGGCATGACTCAATATACTGGTGCATGGTGCCATGCGTCTCGAAAGGATCGACCTGCCTCATTGCGGCAGAATTCGGGGTGGTCTCTCGTGATTTGAAGCCTGCATGCTCATACAGTCTCTCTATTGTGTTGATGACCCAATCTTGGTCACAGGGACCGCGAATACTTTGAACGTAGATCTTTTTGATCTGGTGGTCAAAGACAATACTCCTTGTTATGTAGGCGAAGCAGATGTCTGGATATGAGGCTTCTTCGTGGCCGTTGACGTCAATTGTTTCTAGACCAGCCTCGTAAGATGCATATCCCATCAGACCTCCCCAGAAAGGAGCCCATGTTGAACCCTGTGGCGGAGTCGAGGGCTGGAGACTCTTCATGACTTCTCGTACGTAGGGCCAAGGGTCGGCCACGGTCCAGTCTGTATGTACTTTGTCTTTACCATCCCTGAGCTCCATTCTGCGGGTGCCAGCGTAGTAATGTAGGCGCAGAGTCTCTTCTGGGATGACGACACCAATAATGCTGTACCTGCCTGTTCCCACAGCCATTGGTACGAGGTTCGATTGCAGTCCCGATTCTAACACTATGGCTTCGCCTCTTG